ATGGAGAATCCTCACCAGTTGGGCTTAGCACAATACACTGATAAGTAGAACAGTGGTGATACTGTCAGTGTAGTACAGGTCACCTCCCAAATAACTACTGTGCCCTCCTCCTGCAGCCAGAGTCTGTCCAGTAAAGTTGAGGTGAACACACATCATGTGGTCTAATTGCACCCTACCACACTACACATATCAGCTCACTGACCACTTGTGTGCAGGTGTTCAGTTGGTCATGATTATATTTTGTGACTCTTCAGGCTCTTTTGCTTTTCCCTCCCTTTTTTCTCTGGGCAAAAAGTACACCTTGGTCAAGACAAGTTGCATTCTTCCGTGAGTTTGCCCCTAAGGAGCCCTTGCCTTTGGTTGTCACACTTCATGTGCTTCCCTTCAGAAACTTTCGAAAGGGAGACCTTCTAGGTAAGTTTTTGCACGAGCCCCTCCACCTATTCAACATGGGATTCTAGCATTTCTGTGAGTAGAGTTGAGTTATTGTCTCACAAGTTAACATTTTTCTAATTTGAAAATATATTTCCAGTAGATACTCACTTCCACACACATTCACACCTAATCTTCCCACTTCCAGTGAACCTTTTTTTCTTTGCCTCATCTAAGAATGAAGTAATCATGAGTGCAAGTGAATATGGAGAGTTACTGTGTACAGAGGTTGTGTCGCCATCCCACTGGTGGAGGGCTATTGTCCCATGATGACATCATCATGCACCAGTGCAATTCATGTTATACATGTGAATTTAGGTGGGAGTTTGCCCAAGGCTAGTGGCATGCAAATCTTACTGCCAGATGTGCTTGGGAAATATCATTTCTGTGTGTTGAGGTGAGTATCTTTTGGAAATAAATTTTAAGATTAGGAAAATTTTAATGTCAGTCCATTTGTTTTTGTTAAGTCTTCAAAATTTTTCTCTGTATTGCTTCCAATGAAAGGGTCTGCAGTTATGTTTTTATCCTTGTATTTTCATTTTTGATACATAATTTGTATTCTTTTTAATGTTCTTTTCTTCTTCAAAGGGCCTAAGTATATTTTAGGCAAGAGTAACCTCTTAGCTCAGTAATTTAAGTTTGCATAACCAAAATTCTGTTTGTCTCATTACTTTTGTTATCATCAGATATGAGTTTTTTCACATAATTTCAATATTGTTGCAATTAGGTTCAATTTGTGTGTTATAAATATACAAACTTATGAGTGTATGAAAAGTGACCTAGATTAAAAACACTTTATTATATCCGATAAATAATTTCATGTTAATTTTATTAAAAATGATTGGAAACTATTTGCTTATTAGCAAACACTATTATACACAGAATAAGTGTAGTATTTAGGAAATTTTTAACATTCACTATGCTCTTATGTTTAACATATTGATTATAAACAGATGAAATTTCTGTACAACATATTTTTATATTTTCATTAAATTATAAAAGTTATACAAGTTTGGCCTATTTTAGTATTTTTTCAACTCATTTTTCTCCTAATCTTTTGGATTTTAGTCATCATAGTAAAGCAGGTAGTGCACATTAACAATAATGACAGTTAATATCTACGTCACTTTTCAGTAGGATCTAGGCATAATTTAAAAATGTTTTTAATTCTATAATACAGGTTAGTTGGTCCAACTTGCTTACCATTTTGTAAGATAAAATATTTTTCATTGTTTGTTAATTCATTTGAAAATAAATTTTCATTATGCTGTATTTCCTGACAAGTTGAAACAGATCCAGATTCATAGGTTACATTTTTAAATAATTGGCAGCTTTGTATTTCGTCCATGTTCATCAAATATCAAGCTTTCAGAAAATGAAGTGGCATATGTAATAGCAGTAAACATATTTTAGTATCTTTAGTTCGTAAGTTGCTGCTTATGTTAATCTTTTACATTCTTCTGGAACATCAACACTTTTTGGCTGAATGAGAAACTCCCAACATATTGCTGTGGGTTATACTTTGATTATTTTTGAAATTTTGTTCACTAGAAGTTGTTTTTTCTGTGGTGTAATTATTGGTTAAGTCTAGCAGTTTTGTAAAAGTTTAGGCCTCTGGAATCTTGAAGCTTCCTGTAGTATGAAGAAGGACTAGTACAATATAAAAAACGCTAGGTGGAGTGAGTTGAATTGTCAGCTAAAGAGTTTTAGTGAATTAGACAGTAAGAATTAGTGAGTCTATCCGTCAGTCATTGAGTTAGTAAGTTAGTCAGTGTGTTTTTTATTAATCAATTAATGATAAATTTCTGCAAGCAAGTGATTAAGCTAACTTGTGAGTTAGGCATACTGTAGTTTTGGAATTTCCATTGAAATGTTTATGAAATTAGGCCTATCAGTAAATGTAGCCTTTAGCTTGCATAAAATGTGATTGTAGAAACCTAAGCTAGTATTTTTTTTTACAAAGATTTCATGTGTCTTCCATTGATTTTTTTAATACACACATCTATATACTCATAAACAAAAATAAGTAGAAAATGAAAGCTTGTATTTTTAACAACGATTATATGTGTTTTCTAATACAGCTGTATACTTTAGCTAGAATAAGCAGAAAACCTAATATTTGTACAAGGATTTCATGTGCCATCTATAACATTATATAGTAATATAAAGTTTCTTCACTAAAATGTTTTCTTCAATAATGAAAAGGGAAAATTAATTTATATGTGGTTATTTTGCTGAATTAAACTGAAATGTGATATACTAACTGCATTATTGCTTATTTCTTTTACATGTGTATAAGGCATCAGTTTATTTAATGTAAAGTATTATGATTCACTAAATATTCATGCATCACTGTTGAAGCATGTTGTTCATATTTAGAAAGTCATTGAAGTCAGTAATACTGTGATATAAAATAAAAAATAGCAAAAGAAATAAAAATAACAGGTAAGAAAAATTATCTGTACAGCACTTATGCAGAAGTAATACTTGAGAAGGTAGTAGATCTACCTAAAATTTTAGTGTATGATTATATTAACCCATGGTGATAACATTTTAACCCTAGAATTACCATTAATTAACTGCTTTTCAATCTTAAACTTCAAGTCAGTCGTATGGGAATTTCCATTGTTCAGTTGGCAACTTTGAACAAAAGAAAATCTGATAGACCAGTTTCTCATAAAACTTTGCTCCAAAAACACAATAATAGTACCAAAATGATGTTTTGGTGGTTATGAAAGGTTTTCCAAAAGTAAGGCCACCTTTGCTCAAGAATATTCTGTTTTGATCATGGTTTCACTGTAAAAATGGTTTTCAACATGTTAATGGCAACTAGGTCACTCTGTGCACTTGGTAGAGACAACAATATATGTTCTCCAACTATACCTTGACTTGTTATATGGAGTCTCATCAATCATATCTAAGTCTGTTATTCACTGAATAATCTAAGACATTGAAAGTGGTTGCATGAACAATAATAAAGTATTTTATTCTTACTGCTTCTCTTCTTTGCATTTTTCTTGTCCTTTTTTAATTGAATTCAAACGTTTTTGTACAACCTTTTTTTTTCTGATCACTTTAACTTCAAGAAGAATCCCATTGTGACTACAGCCACAGCATCTGCATTTTTTGCAAACTTCCAACCTTGAATTTGCAATTAAGACTACAGTAAACATGACTTTCAGACATGCTTCCAGTGTTTGTTGACTACTTTAGCACTGAAACGTGGTCTTGTATAGGTTAATCACTTAGCAACAGGCAATGGACTTTCCACCAAGATCTTGACAAATGGGAGGTGGGCAAGTTTTCAAATGAATATTTCCCTGAAGGAGGTGAACATATGAACACAAAATTTGTATTTTTCAAAAGCTCTGATAATGAATTGTCATTGAAAATAATTTATTGTTTTTTATCATTTTTTGGATATTGTGATGACCAAAGTGCTACTATTTTCTGTACAGTTGACTCTCTGTTGGAGGATTAAGCATGTTTTTCTAAATTGATTATGAACCAAATTACTATGGGTCTATAATTTTGTTAGTCAAGGAATTCTAACAACATGAGTCAAATATATATATTTATGTCACTAATTACTTCTGGAGTCCTATATGTATTTCACCTAAAAAATGAGTGGTTTCACATTGGTAAGTTCTTTACTTCAAGTGTTCTAATAGGCTAGAAATATCAAATTATTTATTAGGATGCAGTATTTGGAATGCACTGGTAGTGAATACTTTGTAGTATGTGTGGTAATTAAGTGAATACAGAAAGTGTACTGTCAATATTCACATAATTACTAGTTTTCTATTATGATAATACTCAATTTTTGTCTGTTCTCAAAATATGTGCACACCTTACTATCTAAATGTGCATATGCACACACTTCATTTTAATGGGTGTAAACAAAAGGTGGATATAAATATACTTTAGTAGATATTTTGTACAACAGCATATTAAAAGCTTATCAAAGTTTTTAAAAAGATCTAATGCTAGGTTGTAGGATAACATTATAAGTTTATTTATCGATAATATTAAGAAATGTCAAGTTGAGCCCTAACTAAACTAAAGCAAAAAATGTACACAAGTTACAGTATTAATTTATCTCTCTCTACCAAATATAGGCCATACTTAATATAGGTTTAACTAATGTTAGGCTTAAGACGTGGACTTGTTGATTTCAGTGTTGGTGATTAGAGTTTTATGTATTATTCTAGAAATCCTGTATTTAAAGCAGTACTGTTGTAGTAAAGATATTAATTTGACCACAAATGTTTTGCAAGTCTGTATATATATACATACATACATGTGTGTTGTAGGTATTTAACTATTACAAAAATACAATCTAGTAATTATTCATATAATTACTGTGCATGCTATATGTCACTTAATCATCTCGCACAGATATATAGCATTTACCTTGTTATAATTTGAAAAATAACATTTAAAACAAAAACTTGTAGTAACATAATTATTTTTTTATATTGTATCTTATTTTAACTAAGTGTATTTGCATGACCAGTAAAACTACTTGTACTAAAGCTAATGGAGTTTGATGTTTTGTTTTTTTACAGAAAAAGCTTGAAGTTAAATCCTTTCCTTTGGGCATCATATGAATTATTGGTTAGTTTAGGTAAGTATGTTAAGTTTACAGACACTTATAACTACTTAAAAGAAATTTTTCAGATTGAGAATAATAATTATCACTACCTCTGTATGTCATATTGACTTCATAGTGTGTAAAAATTATGGCTCACCAAGTATCAGTACATATGATCTGAGGCCATTAAGGTTAAAACTCTTATTGTTCTGTACTTTGTATCTGATATTTACACAACTCATAAACCTGTGAAAATAAGTGATGTTTAATACTTATGTGTTTGAACAGCTGGTACAGTAACATATCACTCAGTTAGTGAAGGCTCTTATAGAAATTCAAAAAATATTATTTTTTAATCCTGATATCCTGACATGTTTTACTGGTAAGACACAAGAGATATTTAAATAACAACATAACACAGCTTACCAAGAAAATCTAAACTAATAAGGCAACAACATATCATGCAATAAAATTGTGAGACTACATTAGATAAATACATGCATGACCATACTGAAATGAAAAAGTTTCAATAAATAAATGATTTTTAGTTATTGCATTTTTAGTTATTTGGTTTTTTGTGTTAACATAAGAAAAGAATAAAACATATTTAACATTCTAAAATATTTGTTTTCTAAAAATATCACATGTCAAAGTTATTATATATTGTTAGATGCAAATAAATTTAGAAATGCTTCGATTGGAAAACAATTACTTTTGGCAAGTTTTCTTTCCATTAAAACTGCAGTATGCAGAGATTGTGCATGACAGGTAAAAGGGGAGAAAGAATTTTAACTTGGTGACTACTTAGCTGTGAAAACTGTATTAACACAAGTTATGTTAAAAGACTCATGAAAAAAATGGGTTGTTAGATCTCATTTGCCAACCAGTAACATCTTCACTGGTGATATATTCAGATTACATTGATATTTGTCCTTACTCCTTGTGTTTGTAAAGATAACAAGTTGTTAGTTAAAAGTAAGTAGTTCTTCATTTTTCTTTTTACGTGTTCTTATATTGAATGGAGTTGTATATTATTTTTCATAAGCTGGTTGAAAGCTATATTTTAGCAACTTGTTTATATTTTGAATGTTTTATTGAATTTGAAACATAAATACTTTTGAGGTTTTTATTAAGGTTTGTACTTCAAGACTAATAAGTAGATTTGTAAATGCTTTAGTCTATGAAATATTTTTGGGGTGTGTGTGTGTGTGTGTAATATCAATGTGTATTTACAAAAACTAATTTGAAAGACATCTTAGATATATTTATGTTTTGTAGGAGAAAAACCAGACCCTTCCAAGATATTTACAATATCCAACCTAGACAACTTCTCATACTGTCATGGATCCAATCCTATTGTAAACTTAATAAATAAATCAAATACAAGTGGAGATACATATATTTCTTGTGATGTGCAGCAGGTAAGAGTTTTGTGGGTATGAATGATGTTTTTTATGCTTTAGTTTCACTTTTGAATCATTAGAATTGTATTTTATAATAATAGTTAATGAACTAACTTTATGTTTAAACCATAAAGTCTGTATTCTTATTCTCACTTAAATAGATGAAATGCAATACTAGAATATCCTTCTCTTAAAATGTTTCAAGTATTGAATTTTAACAAACTTACCAAAGAATACCAGTTTTGATGGGTTGAAGTTACATTTAAGACACCAAGTCACTCATTTAGGAAAGAAAGGCTTCTATTTTGAAAACAACATGGAAGAGATAATATTATTGAAAAGTTCAACCATATATACACAGTAAACCATACAGTAGTATGTTTTTTTAAATGGAAACACTACACGCACATCTGATAAATGCATTGTTTACAATACAATCCAGCAAAAATATCCATATTTTATGATATATCATACACAATATAGGGTGTAATAAAAGTAGGTAAACTATATGAGATCTTGTATGTTATCTGATTTAGATTCTAGAAAACCAAAATGAGTAACCTTGGATATAACATGAGATATGTACACATATTGAACAGTATTTGGTACTTATTGAAAGGATTCGATCTGAAATATTTGTGACTTTTAAGTTCCTGAAATTGATTAAGTGTTGTGCATGTTCACTTATTGAGCATTTCTTTTGTTGCCCCCCCTAGTATTAGGAAGTGCAAATAACACTTGAGCTAACTAACACTGCAGATAAGAAATGAATTCTAACACAGCATCAGAGCAGTCACTTTAATGTTAACAAATTAAACTACTTTCTTTTCATGGTTTACTGATAATTGTAACATAAAAACATAGCTTATAATCCATATCTTAAGAGTATTAAGTTTTAAGTTCTTACTTTTTTTAACACTTCCATTATGGGCTGGGTTGAATCCACCCAGCCCATGACCATGAATTTATCCATGAGAGTAATTATACTATGATTTTTGATAATGTACGTGTATCTTCACAAATGTTTGCAGGTTATTGGTAAATATTACAAGGCTTTCATGTACAAAATATCAGGATTTTGAATTAAGATTTTTTAATTAAAGATTTTGTTGTGAATTTTTTTCTTTCAGAATGTTGACAATCCAACATGCAAAGTAATTTTAAAATTAAAATACTTTTCTTTGTCTGAAAGATGTCAAGTTTCATTTGTGTAATTCCTATATCCTCCTAAATAACCATAAAACTTTATATTTTTTCAGTTATTTTATCAACCGTAACCCTATGTGGTGGCAGTCAATTTGACTGACCTCGTAACCATCATAAAAATTAGGAAATAAATCTAAATTACCCTATCTTTTGTTCTAGACTGACTACAGATTGTGACAGGAAACCCCAAATATTGATTTTAAATAGCTTAATTCTTGTAACAGTATATATCTATCTATATTTATCAATGTTTTTTTTATTGACCTTTGAACTGTGTCTAACTAGAAATACCCTGACACAAGTTGAAAATTACGAGGTGCACATGCAGCTCACGTTACTGTATTGAATAGTGTAATACACAAGCTAGTTGCTAATATACCCTATGAAGATTTTTATTATTTTTCTTTCATTATGTCACCTAATCAGTTTCTATTTTTATGATTTTAGTTACTTTTATAATAATAAATAAAGAAAACAAATGAAAAATAAATAACCTCATAATTAAATATCAAACACTCTCTTCATTAAAAATTTATATTTTATCTGTTATTTCCTCTACTGTAACATTATATTTGATTCTCCAGGATGTATAATGAAAATAAAGTTTGCAATGTGCAAAATATGATGTAAAGTTTCAGAGTTTATAGTTTTCACCTTTTTATACTTATTTTCTGTAGTAATTTTATTGTTAGGAGCTGACTCAGGAACTAGACGAAACAAACTGAATAGCATTGTTTGTCTTTTATCAATATGGAACAATAAGCTCTAAAGTAAAATTCATGAGAGTTTCTTCTAATCTTTTCACATCTATTTCCTATGTTTATCTACTGTTAGTGGCTGAAGTAGAAACCTGCCTAATATAAAGCAATGAATCACTGCTCCTTACTTAGTTTGACACTGTTAATATCAAATAAGCTCATGTGGCAGAATTCCTAGAACTTTCCCTAGTTTGAAAACACAATGGGTAGGGTTTATGTTATGAGTTTGTAGAAAGTCCGTGGGCTGATCTAATAAGTCGGTAAGCGGGTGTATCCTACATAAACTATTCGAATTCTGGCTCTGATAACGCAACGAGCTACAATTTGCTGGCTTCTTTACAGTACAGTGGTTGGAACAAGAATTGACTGAAGTACTTTATAAAAGTGAAATAAAATATTTATGATATGGCTCTGTACAAAATACAAAGCTCTGTCTGACCAAATAAACTTAAGTATTTGTATGCTAGTTATCTTCTTGGGTGGTCAGAATTTAGTGTTGATATAGGTGTAAATGTGTGTAAGTGCTTGTATAACCATGCTTACACAGTAACCAATAAATGTGTAATTTATGAAGTATTAAATTAAGTATTATTAAATAAAGTGTTGAATGTAAATCTACAGATGTGATGACATGCCCTCTGACCCGTACCTGTCTTGATAGGGTTAAGGCAATATAAAAAAAAATCAAGAAATTCCCCTAGTGTAAGAATTGTGACATTTGCTCTTTAGGCATCGCCTTTACCATTCCTCCAAGAAGTATGAAATTTAATGTAAATTATTTATTATAATATCTTCATCACTCAGACAAAGTATAATTTTCATAGCTTTCAATCTTATTTGGTTACAGAGTCATCAAATAGACATTTAACCCTACTTTTTTATGCTAATGGTAGTACTGCACTAAATAATATTTATTTAATCAAATAATGCACCAAAGAACACAGAATAATAATGTGCAAAAAGCAGACAATGTCTCATAACTATCACAATTTTTCTGCCTTTCGAATTATGCAACAAGATCCATTAAAACTAAACCCAAGCTCATCTATGTGTTTCCAGTGGGAATCAAGTTTGAACTGAAAGCAAAATTGACAATTCTCTTTACAGAAAACAATGTAATATAGTACTGAATATCAGAGAAAACTATTGGCAATATCTGAAAGAGAGAATGTGACAGGTAGGTGTGGATAGAGGCTTCTGATTGTCATTGACAGTCAGCAGCAAAAAAAAAGAATGCCTAGGTAAGTAATTTATTTGTTGTTTTTCATGTGTATTCTTTATTTAATATTATAAAAGGAACATAGCAAATAATTTTTACATCACAAGGTGTGTTGGTTTTGGAAGAAAGTTACTCAGGTCTTTAAAAATGTAATAATAGATTGCACTGTAAATTTATTAGTCGGGTATTTGATAGAAAAAGATCATCAGCATTGATGGTAGGTTAATAATGCATTTTTCATTTCATGTTTGTAGTAACATTTAATATATATATTCAACTGACCTATTTCATAATTGTAGGTTTTCAAAGCAAAGAATTGGAATATAAACTAAAGAAAGCTTTATTTTTTTTTTTTCAGGAAACTAGTCAGCTTTCAACTAAAATATCTGGCATGCCTATGCTCTCATCTTCGACAGGGGTAAATGTGCACTCTCCACTGGCTCTTTTAAGAACTAGTCCAGAGCCTAACAATGTAGAAGTACTTACTCCTGAAAATAGCAGTTGGATTCCAATTACTTCTGCTGCACTAGGAAAATCATCCAACAAACTTTCTCGTGTGGGAAGGAATATTTTTGGAGGAAACATGATTCAAACACCACTAACACCAAAGTTTGTACTTTTTATAAATATGTGTAAATAGAATGTGAAATTATAAATTGAAACAACTTTACCTGTTCTTTCATACTTGATATAACTGTTAATACATATTGAATGTACTAGAACACATCAGTTCTAATCACTTTCAGCCATAGGAACATTATAAATGTGAAACTGAATTCATATTCAGTTAAGGGTTGTCACTTATGTGTGGATGCTGCTGACTGGCTGCTAATCTTTTGTTCAGAAGTTCTAAGTTAGAGATGATTATGCCTGAATTTTGGAGTCTGACATAGCCACTTAGCTTTTATGTTACTGAAGGTACTGTTCAGGTTAAAAATATCAGCACCTGGCTAAGGCTTTCATTAAAATCCTGTAGGAGTGATATTATTTTCTTTAAAAACATTTATGAATACATGTTGGTTTCCTTATCAACTTTTTGTAACATTATTCAGTTTATGAGCATGGTAATATTAATCCTACGTGCATTGCAGAGTCAATGTACCTCAATAAAGCTAATATCAAAATGTAGTTAATAATTTAAATTTTAATGTTATATAAGTTGTAATATCTTTCAAAATTTCAAAAAGATATACATAAAAAAATTTTAATCTTCACTTTTCCATATTGCATGTTGCATCTGCACTCCAAATTACTCATTTTAGACTTTCTTTCTACCATATATTATTTTTTGAGTATCCAAATAATCAGAAACATATACTATAGATATTGACAAGCCATAAGATAAATTTAGAACTATTTATCCTTGTCACCGAACATACTTGTCCTCTCAGCTGTGGGGGCATTATAAAGTAATGACAATTCCACTATACATTGGATAAAAAGTATCCCAAGAGTTGACAGTGGGTGATGTTAACTAGTTGCCTTCCCTCTTGTCTGTCATTGCCAAATTAGGAATGGCTATTGCAAGTAGCCCTCGAGTAGTTTTACACAAAATTTCAAACAAACCAAACTAGAATATCTTATCTTGTTTTCTGAGATATAAAAAAAACTGTCAAACTCACCTGCATAGAATAGTGGCTCTTGTCTAACATTCATTGTATTGATAAAACAATTCTGATGTGGCATTAAGGACATTTAAGGATTTATATATAATTAAAATGTAATACAGATTTAAGAATGCAAGAAAATTTTAAGTGAAATTAAGGTGTAATAATAAATAATTGATAGTGTATTTGTAATGCATTGCATTTTTCTGTGTTTTGCTTTCAAGTGGACAGATTCTTGCATAGTTCATCTGAGTAGTGTAATCTTAAATATTTCTTTATTTTTAAATTACATTCACTGATAAGTATGTGCACTTTAATGCATTATTTATTAAAAATTACAGATTTTATTTATAGGTTGTAAAACTCTTAAAAGTCTTAACTTCTTACACCATATTCATAAAATTTTTAGAATCCAGATTTGATTACCTTGTTTTTTCATTAACATTGATTATGAATGGAATGAGATTATAATAAATGTTGGATTATTTCTTTAAGACATGATGATAATTTCTTATTTGTTTCTTGTATTGTGAGGGAATCATATTTTCAAATCAGGTAGATTTATCATTTACCTCTTGAATACTGAAAGTCTTTCCTTATTGATTTGGATCTCTTGTTGTCAACAGCCATGTGACTAAAAGTTCTCATTGTTCTTGAAGCAATACAAACCACCTGTATATCTCCACTGTCATACTTTTTACATGATTTATTGCATGTATTTCCAGAGGTCTTACATAAGTTCTGCTTTCTCACTTTGAATTATGTTTTCTTGTTAACAATCATGCTGCTAACTTTGCTTATTATGAATTCTAATGACAATATTAACCACTGCTGATGCAAATGTTTCTACAAATATTGAGAGTTCATGTAGTCTATCATGCTGGGAGATCATGTTGTGGTATTGTTGGCCCTTTATTAGTCAAATTATTCAAGCCAGTTAATCCGCTTGTCTGCTGATGTACTTGACGGGTTTTGCATTCAGGTGAATGCATTTTGTGAAATGCCTGTCTTTTTTTCATGATTATCAAGCAAAAATGATCTTGTGGTCATTCCTCTTCACATTCATGTTGTGCAGAATAAGATTTGTCAGCTAGCCTTAGTTCTGAAAAAGCTTTTACCATTTAATTTATCTTCTTGTTTTTTCTCAGATATTTTCTATCTTAAATTTTTAACTAATTTATCTTATACCTGAGGGTGCCTTTGTCATTGTAAACAATTCAATTCTTAAGTCTTTGTTATCCACCTTTTCCTGATTTGGAGTCATTACTGATGCTTTGAGAAATGTTTTAACCATTTTACATCGGTTTCATGCAGTTTTTTTCACAAAAACTGGTAAGATTTTGTTAAAAATTATGTGTATCTTCTACACAAAGAAGAACATTATTTTGATTAAGTCTTTCTGCTAAAAATATGTTATCTATTTACTTTAGTTATTTTCATTCAGATTCTGAATAGTTTGAGTGAAAGATAATTTTCATTATAAGTATAAAAATACTTTTCTTCATCTTACAGTTTTCAAGTTTTTTTACATAACTCTAGAACCTCTTAAATGAATATCAAAAGTTTTTTTAAGGTAAATGTTTACATTTTATTTTTCATTTTCTCTACCATATCACTAACTGTAGATATATCATCAATATACAGTGCCATGAAGAGTTTAAAATAAAAAAATTTACATACCTTTTAATTTTTCTTAGAATATCCTAAAAAGATCTTCTTTTGGTAATATTTGTAATTTCAGGTCTTTTTCCTTTTCACTTATACTCAATTTTTAATGCTATGTTTTCCTTTCCCATTCTTTACTGTTTACTATTCATCTTGACACAAGCCAATGATGCCCATGGGGCTAATTGCTGTATCTTTGGGAGAGATGCCCAAGCCATCGGCAAAATTATCTTACACGTGTGTAAGATTATTAGCCTTGAGAACTTGGGCAATGTTTGAGATAAATTTAAAAAATGTTTAAACCTTTTAGTTATACATTTTAAAACATAAATAATACATAATTAACTAAGATATAAAAGTAGAACCTAAATGCAATTTAACTGTCTATTTAACTATAACATACTTAGGTAAGAAACAACTGTAAGTGCTATTGTACACAAAGCAGTCAACAATACTACCGGCAGTAACATCTACTGATGACAATAACTGAGCACCAATTTCAAAATAACTTGCTGTATTATAGTATAAAATGAGCTCTTTCTAATGATTATATAAATGTGTGTGAAGTTAACTACATGTGACTTGTAAAGCTCAAGGAATAGCATAGAAGGTGGGTTTGGCATCTGTCAGGACTTGGAAAAATTTATCTCTAGTTTCAACAAAACTCAGCCAAAGAACTTTGAAACATATGTGCTAATAAGGCAAGTAAATGTACTTATTGAGTAGACATACATCTACCGGACTGGGGTTATATTATTCAAGACTGAGAATGCAAAAGTTGAGATTTTTCGTAGCTAGTGGGTCACGTGACAACAAAACTGAAGTTTAAGTATTTTTTAAAGGTTGTCTTTTGAAACAAAGGAATTAAATCTTAGATAACATAAAACTTCAAATAATATTGTACATTGTAATGTCAGTTTCTTTGACATACATTTATAGCAAAGTTATTTAGTTAAAATTTGAATATAACTCAATGACTTGTGTAGAAAGAGATTTTTAAGGGTACCTATTGTGAAAGAGTTAATTATTAAAAGCCTTATTGGTGGGACCATATTCTTCTACTTGCCTCACTTCTCAAATCTTTGGCCTTCAGTGCAATTTGTGGGGATGGGAGATCTTTCCTTGTGGTCTTCTACTTTATCTCATTGTTAGTTATCTGCCATTTATGATTTCTTTCATTGTCAGAGTAATTTTTAGCTATCAGCTACTCTCATTCCTTTAGTCATGATTACATTTTTAACTTGCAGTCTAATGTAGTTTGTATTACCATGTGGCTCTTATCTTCCCTTGATACTTATCTCATTGTTCTGTGTTTAAAAGTACTCCCCCCTTTTCCTTTAATTTTTCAGGTGACCTCAGATGAGCTTTTGTGCATTGTTTGTCCTTGCAGGATTTTTCTCATGCACTTATCTTTCATTCAAGAGAAGCATGCTAGGAGGAACTGACTAGGGTGATCTGATTCTGTGAGTTGTTTCTTTTGAAATGACTAGCAAGTAATTTTAGTTATCTTGCCTTGCATACTAGTTTACATGTCACTGAAGTTAGTGACTTCTAATAATTTCTTTTTACCCTGCTGTGGACAAACCTAGGCAAGGTGAGTTTTCTTCATCCACTCAGTGACTCATTTCTGTTCTAGAGGACTTTTCCATCTGACCTGTTGAGGAAGTCATCTTGAATCATTGGTTCATCTGTGGGACCTTTGACCTTCTGTTCACTGGACTCTTCAGTCTACTCATAATGTCTTTTCTCTTTCTTACAATTTAGTCACTCAGATATTTTTGATCAGGAAGTCTGAAATATCATTTATCACACTTCTACAGATTTTTATTCTTGCTTTTTTTTATGATTTTTGAGAATATGTAGAATTTGGAGACCTGTTTTGATTGAAATGGAATATATGAAATTATTATGATAGCTTCTTAGTCTCAGCCATTGGATTACTAGTGAATATACGTAGGATTGCTTATCTTTTTATCACCATTTCTCTGTCATCCCATCTTTCTTGTCATCAGAGGGGTAGTTCATTAGTCCACTGACCTTACCTTCCTTTCAGCTTGGGTTCAGTTCCATATGTTTTCTGTTCAGTAGTCATAGTTCTTTTAGCTGATTTTCTCCGTTTCTTCAACATCAGCTTTTACTTTTACATGGACATCTGTTTTATCCAATCTCTTACACAGCCAGTTGATCACCCAGCTGTTGTAAGTCTTGGAACCTCATGTTCATAATATTCTTACACACTTACTGCCAAACATCCTTTCTAAGATGATGGCTTTACTTAAACGTTTTTCCCGTTTGGATCACTCAAATGGAACAATTCCAATGGAATCTTGCTTTTCA